ACCATTTTCAGCAACATATAGCTTTTGCATATAGATACATTTCTCTCCATATTATCTAGATTCTCTATGAAGACAGAATAACTGAGAAAAGGAGATTTAAGGATACCTGGGAAATAAAATCTGTACATGATCTCAAAAACAAAATATTTATTTTGAATGATTTGCTGTGAATCTGTCCCTTTTTTTTTGGTGAGAAATCTATTTGAAAATCTCTAAAATCAAAAGAAAAAGAATTCTACTTAACTAGAGGTTTCTTAAACTTTTTATTACAGACTAAGTAATCAAAATGCCTATCTGTTGTTCCAACTACATATCACATAGTATCCCTTCTCATCTTCACAACAACTTTCAACATTGGGTCCTATTACTGGTATCCACACTTTATAAATAATGAAACTGAGTTTAAGTAATAGAAACAGAACCAAAATGCAGAGCCAGGATTTTAAAAAAGCAGAGTCAACATTTGGCTACTTTGCTGTATTGTCTCGGGGCATGAGATATTAATAAAGCATCACTTGGTGGAGAGTCTCAGAAACATAGATTCTCCAACCTCATGACAATGAGTTCCTTTTAGTTATTATGCTCTAGAGGAAGCTTTAAGTGTACAATTTTCAGGAAGCAATTTTTTATTAACTCCATCTTTCGGTTAATAATGAACACAGAACATATCTGTTTTAGCTATGCAGTAAGGTCTAGAAATAGCCATAAATGTAATAAAAGCCTCACAAGATTTATTGTAATAGATGTGGTAGATGTTACTTTTGATCCCGAGGGGAAAAAAGGGAGAGGAAGGGAAGAAAAGCAAGGAGAACAAGAAGGAGGAAGATATGGAGGAGGAGAAGGGAGAAAAAGGAGAGGATGAAACAGAAAAAGATGCTTTCTGAGATGTCCGTGAAAGAGAAGCAGGGAGCCAATGGGATATCTAACACTTTCACTCCCAGTGTACCTGTAGCTGCACCTGTGTTATATCACTGTGTCCTCAGAATCGGAAGTTTCAGAATAGTTAACAACATTCTCAAAATCCCATACAGTGGCTGTATAGGAATTTCGTCTAGGATTTGGGAAGTATTAGCCTGTAGGAGCCCTAGTGATGCAGTGATTATACAGTTGGAAGCCCCAGCCGCTCCACCGGCTTTCTAGTGGAGCAGCTTTCCAGTCCAGTAAAGAGTTAGAGAGTCTTGGGAAACCCGCAGGGGCACTTCTACCCAGGACATCCAGGGTCACTGTGAGTCAGAAGCAACTCAATAGTAGTGAGGGCTTCGTACACCCCCTCCCCCCACCTTTCTTTTGGATCCTGTGGGATTCCCATTGCACCACAATGCCTGGGGTGAGATCAGCCTTTTCTGTAATCAGTCCTATGGGAGAGGTGTTTCTCTGAGAGAGGGTAGGAAGTAAGAGGATTTGTAAAGGTCAATGAAATGAGAGACATGCAGAGGTCATGATATGAATAATCCCTTACCCCGCCACCACCCCACAAAAACCCACTGCCATTGAGTGGTAGACTCTTATCTACTCTGTACAAGGTTTCTGAGGCTGCCAATAATTAAGTAAGCAGAGAGACAACCTTTTTCCTTTCTCCCTCAGAATGGCTGGTGCATTTGAACCACTGACCTTGTTAGCAGTCCAATGGTTACCTGTCTGCTCCATTAGCGCTCCTTACTACGAATAAGGTAAGAAATATGACCTTGGGATTTGGTACCAGAAAAACCTAACACATGGCTTTCTGGGTTACTGTGAGGTCAACTAATATAAAATACACTCTATCATTAACTAAAATTACTCATCAAATCAAATAAATAGCAGTGAATTCTGGGAAAAAACTATTGTAATTTGTAAAACATCCTCCCTCCCGCACCAAAAATGAAGGAAGTATTTGTCTTAAGCATATTTGCTTCTTCATTCAATAAATTGATTGTTAATGAATGGGCAATAAAAAGAATGAAAAATATGCTTTATGGGTCACGTACTAAAGCAGAATGGGAGGAGATGGGAAGTAACTTAGATGTCATGATAGTTTTTTCTAGCCGATGGTATAGTGGTTGCGAGTTGGGCTGCAATCCACTACATCAGCAGCTCAAAACCGCCAGCCACTCGCTGGGAGAAAGACCCAGCTTTCCACTCCCAGGAACAGTTGCTGTCTTGGAAACTCACAGAGGTAGTTCTCCCTTGTCCTATGGAGTCACGATGAGCCAGCATTGATTCAATGGTGAGAGGAAGTTACCCAAAAAAGCCAAGCCTGTTGCTGTTGAATCCATTCTAACGCATGGGAACCCTATAAGAGTGAGTAGAATTGACCCAGAGGTTTCCAAGACTGTAAATGTGCATGGAACCAGATTGCCACATATTTTCCCCACAAAGTGGCTAGTAGGTTCCAGCATCCAATCTTGAGATCAGCAGCTGACCACTTACCCACTGCCCCACCAGGGCTCTTTAAGAAGTTACATTAGATAGACAAATACATGAACTTGGAGCTCACACTCAATCCTAAATCTTTATCTAAGTACAATTAGTTTTTATGGTGTCACCCCCCCTTGATACTCGCCCTCATGAAGAGAGCACTGAAGATATGGGTGCTATTGCAAAATGTGGTGAAGAAAGGTCATGGTGTCCAGTAGAGACAACCACGCCTGGAGTCTTAAAATATTGTCTTAAAACAAACAGCCAGCTAAGTGAACTGTCAGCTAAATCCACATGGAAGAATAATGCCAGCCTGTGTGAGCCTAAGGATGTAAATAATAAAATCCAGGACTGGAAGTGGAAACTGTAGTAGAGTGTAAATTCTGAGCACCCGGTGTGCAAAAGGCTATAAATGGCAGTGAAAGCCCAAAATCTATTTGTAGAGTCCACACATTGATTAAACGTCCAGTGAATCCCCTCTGACCATTGACCAGGTATGTGACTAGCCTTGCTATCAGACAGAGTACTTTGAAAAGTAGATTAAAGTAGATATAATTAGGTTTTAATTCATCATTTTATCATTTTCCCCCCTTTTGACTAAATTTCAAATTTGTTCTAAGTATAATTATTTTCTTCTTTTTTTGAACTGCAGTTTTTCTGTGCTTTATTTTGTTATTGTTGTTGGGGATTCTTTTGTATTATTTTCTTCAGATGAAATCCAGGAAAGGTAAATCTATACAGACAGTAACTGGATTAATAATTTCTTAGGGGAAAAAACTAGTTTCTTAGGCTTGTGGAAGGGGGAGTTGGGGGAAATGGGGTGTTAATAATAATGAGTATAAGAATGAAGAAATGTTATAGAATTGATTGTAGTGATGGTTGTACCACTCCTTTTGAAATATTTAAACCAATGAATTATATGGTGCATAGATTATGTCAATACGACTGCCAATTTTTTTTTAAAGTTACATTAGGGTTACAGAATACCAACTTCAATCTAGCCACTTCCTCATGGAACATAGTATCCAGAATCTCTCTGGTCCTCCCTCGGCCCTGCCCACCACCTGAAGGCTACCATATGTTTTCTGCTCTCCTAGCAAAGGATTGGGGACTTTTTCATTTGAACTACGTTATGTACATAAGCATGTAAAACCCTACATGTTTTTTTTCCTCACAAAGTATTTCATCTCAAGCTTTTACCTCGTGTAAGTCTTACCTGAACAGGTGATTCCAGCATCCTTTTGGTGAGTACAGTTATGCTTTCCCCACCCTTCATGTTTGCAGTTCCAGAGAGCTGATTCGTTCCCTCGACAAGAAACATGATCCATCCAAATGCGTCCAGAACCGGCACTGAAATTAGTCCAGCCAGTGCCCGTGATAGCAGTTGGACATCCCAGTTGCTTACAAACCACGGAGACCTCATTCATGTCCCAGTCGTTGTTACACACGGTTCCCCATTCCTCCTGGACTTTCACCTCCACTCTCCCAGCACACCTGTTCTTGCCAGCCGCCAGCCGCAGCCCCTTCTCTGGTCCTCCTGCAACGATGGATCACGACAGCGATTGCTCAAGGTCACAAAAAACAAATGGGGAATCATTATGCTTTAGACTACTTCTTTGTCTTTCAAAGTCAGTTCTGAGGACTAAGTTTGTCCCCATTCATGGTGCAGCCACAGATTTCAAATTAAACAGTGATATACAAACTTAAGAATCTGTTGGTCCCACTGGTATTTACCTACATTCCCTATTGTTTGGCTGAAATTGAGCTACATTTTTTCTTAGATTAAAATTGGCATTTGAGTTTACTGGATTATTCCTTAAACTTCTTTTTGTCCCCATAATTATAAGAATACCCCTATTCTATATTTTCCCTTATTTTCACCTAGACATTGCATCCCATCTCGGTCATAGGGTTAGATTCTTACTATGTCCTTTACATATGTGATCCTTTGGATTTTTGAGGCATGTTATCGAGTTTTTAAGGGCTGTACAGCCTTCAAGAGGATTTTTTTTTTTCACAATCCTTGTCTAGTGGTAGTACCCACCTAGAGAACAGGTGATCAAGCAGGCACTGAGAAGGGAGACCACAGCAAGAGCAAATGGATTCAAGTGGAAAAAGCATCTTCGAAAGTCTTTGAGAAATAGAAAGAAGACATTAGTACAATTCCCCGCTCCCCCCCCCTCAGAGATTTTAGAGAAGAAAACTGTTTTCTGACGTTTGGGTTTAACAAAGACTTTTGAACCAAGACATTAAACTTGCTTCTAAAAATCAAGGCAAACAGAAAAAATCATAGCCAGACTCAACCAGTCTCAATTAAATAGCTTTGAAACCATTTATGTTTATAAGTGACCTAGAGGTGGAGAGGGTAGAAAAAAATCCAACAAAAAACCTCCAAATCTGGAAAATGAAAAAGACATCAATAAAACTTAAAAGTGCTGTTTTCTGTCCAAGCAAAGAGACATTTTCCTGATAGTTCTACATCCCTTTACCTCCTCAATATTCAACTACGTATCTCAGCCTACCGCACCACCCTGCAGGATGGTCAATTTTATGAAGAAATGACTGGGTGGATCACCTTTCGCTGTAGCCTCACCAGTACTTGCCACCATGCCTGCCAAGTAGTAGATGAACAACAAAGTATTGGTGCAATGAAATGATGATGCTTAGATAAAAGAAAATCTTATCACCTCCAGATACAATACAAAATACTCTTCAACATTGTTATCACTCTTATTCTTTCCTTATTACTCTAGTTATACTACTAATTACAAAGTAAAAGAGCTAAAAAAAATTAACGTGCTAAAAGAGTTTAATATACCCATATAAATCATGAGGTAGATTTTAGCGTTGTGGAGGGTTATTATTCCTACATATTTAATCTTTTGTAAGGGCTATTATCTTCGCAGGGTAGTGCAGTGGGTAAATGGGGCTACTAACCAAAAGGCCCATGGTATAAACCCACCAATTGCTCCATTGTTGAAAAATGAGATCATTTGCATCTGTAAAAAGTTAGTCTCTGAAACCCTTTGGAGCAATTCTATAATGGTCTAGAGCAGCGGTTCTCAACCTGTGGGTCGCGACCCCTTTGGGAGTTGAATGACCCTTTCACAGGGGTCGCCCAATTCATAACAGTAGCAACATGACAGTGACGAAGTAGCAACGAAAATCATTTTATGGTTGGGGGGTCACCACCACATGACGACTCTATTAAAGGATTGCGACATTAGAAAGGCTGAGGACCACTGTTCTAGAGGGTCACTATGAGTAGGAGTGAATTCAGTGGCATTGGTTTGTCAATTATCTCCATCCTCAAAGCAGTTCAGCTCATTTCAATTTCTTAGGAAATTTCACTTAGCAGGTTTCCTGAATTGATGCCAACCCAGCTCTCTAAGGCATATCTCAAATCGTGACTCTGTGATGAATTAGAGATGTAAGCTGAACAGCCTTTTCCCATTCCTTAATCCTCTGATATCAACCTTTAAATTATACCCAGTATGTGTAGAACAATTCTACAGCCCCTTGAAGGCTAAACGGAGAATAATAAAGAAGACCTTACCAGTAGCTCCAGAGTCTTCAAGTCGAACCATCCTAGGTTTGTCCAACCCCAGGTTTAATACTTCAATGATCACTAATTCTTTTTGTATTTTCCCCTAGAATTGTTCTCCTAAAGATGATGACTTTAAGACTTCTGAAACCTCCTCACCTCCATAAGAAATGGGAAGGCTACACAAAGGAGGTGGAGTCAACCAAAAGGGAAGTCATTAAAAGAGCTGAGGTTTCCTTCCATAATCATGTTTTCTTCAACATGGGACATGAAACAACCAAAGGAAATTGAGAAATATTCTCTGTGGATTTACAAAGATTAAAGGAACTATACAACTTTATACTGTTGAATTAAACACTTTTAAGTTTTGTAGTTTGTGATTAATGTATGAGACACACAAAGATGTTATTGCTATATAGTTATACTATGTCAAAAAGATAAAACAAACAGCATAAACATAATTAAATAACTAGTTTCATTTCCATAACTGGATAATGAGTAATTTTGCTTAGGTTTTCTATAGATACCACTAGTATTTTTTTTCTAATCAGATAGAGAATTACAAGAAAATTAATCATGAATATTACTATTTCCCAAATGGTAGAACAATGAACAAGATATGATTTTAACGCTAGAGAATTCAATCAATTAAGAGAAACACAATAAGAATAATGAACATATCTTCAAAGTAGAGAGGGAAAGGAAAGGACTATATGTTCATATATGTCTGTTTGGTTTAACATTCAAATAGAAATTAACACAGCTCATTATATTAAAAAACTAAAAATCAATAAATGATTTAATCATCTTGAGAGACCTAAGTTATAAAATAATCCTTTGACAAAATCCATTTCTGATAAAAAATTCTCAGAAAAGCAGGTGTAGAAAAGAACTTTTTCTACCCGGTAAAAGACACTTATGAAAAATCAACCCCCTAATCTATTCTTACTGGTTCTACTCAACATAGTACAAGATGTTTTATCCATTGTAATCCCACAAGAAAAAGAAATATAGGTAGTTCTCATGTTACTAACATCTGGACAACTCATACTGGCCCTTTGATGTTATATAAATGTACCCTGTTTTTAAAATATCTGAACCAACCCTCATGCTCACACTCACTGCCATGGGGTCCATTCTGCCTCATTATGAACCAGCCGTTCTGCCAACACATTATCAAGATGCCTTTCACTAGCCCAGAGCAAACCTACTGCCGTCAGGTCGATTCTGACTCACTCAGAACCTACAGGATGGAGCAGAACTGGTCCTGAGGGTTTCTGAGACTGTGAGTCCTTACGAGAACTGCAGCCTCGTGTGTGTGCTGTGGAGCACACTGCTGGGCTCAACCGCCAACTTCACAGTTAGTTTTGCTTGTTTGAGATTCACTTGCTTGTCATTAAAGGCTTCAAGTCCATTTCAATTTTACGTTGGGTCCTTTTTTTTTTTTTAACATTTTATTAGGGGCTCATACAACTGTTAAGTCCTTTTTTTTGTTAAGTCACTCAAACCACTAGATTTGAAGAACAGGAATTAGAGGGATTTATTGTTTGTTTTCAAAGAATATATATATGTATGGGTGCATATCACAGTCCAAAACATGAAATCAACAATGATTTTTTGACTGATTCAACATTTACTTTCACTTGGAAACAAAAATACCTGAAATGGACAAAAGGCATATGAAAAAGATCAACAAGGTGGATAACTAGCACTACCCTATGTCCAAACTTATTACAAAGCCATAGGATTCAAGACAGCCCTCCATTAGACTAAAAAGATGTATAGATGAATGGGGACGTGCAAAGAGTTTAGAAATAGATCGACATAACCTCACAATTAGAAAGTAAAGTTAAATAGGAACTATATGCTCTTATTCCAAATCACCAACAAATTAGACTTGCAGGCACACCCAGGAAGAGATGGCTTTTGTAACTGGTGGACTATATCCATATTCCAAATGAAAATGTAAACCGATCTTCATGGATGACATGATTGTGTAGAAAACCAGACGGAATCTAAAACACTATGATAACAAAATAAAATGTAGCAGGATTTGGGGATGTAACATGAACATAGAAATATCAAGCAGCAAGCAATCATAATAAAATATTGATTCCAGTTATAATCATATAAAATATATTTCAAATATGTAAAAGACACAAAATAGAAAATAGTGCTCAGAGAAATTTTAAAAGATCTACATAAATGGAGAGATATACTGTGTTTGTATGTTGCAAGATCATATTCAAGTAGATACATCATTTTATTTGGTTTTGCTTTTATATGTTTTTAAGCAGATATATAATTTTAATGTATCCTAAATAAATATCACAGCACAGATTTGGGGCTAACAATTAACTGATTTGAAATTTACTTTTACTTGGAAACCAAAGTACCTGAAATCGACCAAACACATATGAAAAAGATGAACAAGTTGGATAACTAACACTACACCATATCCAGACTTATTATAAAGCTACAAAAATCAATACAGAACTCGGTTAGAACAAATATACATATACATTAGCGTAACAGTGTACAGAGTTCAGAAATAGATCAAGATATATTTAACTACTGAGTTTTTGACAAAGAACAATTTTTTTCCACAAGTGACGGGAACAATTGGCTGTTGCTGTTATTGCTTGATGCCACTGAGTCTATTCCAATCCACAGCAACTGTGTGCATGACAGAAGGAAGCCCTGCCCGGCCCTGCACATCCTCACCATTGTTCCTGCGCCTGCGCCATTGTGGCAGCCGTGGTGTCCATCCATCTCCTTGAGGACCTTTTTAGCTGTCCCTCTACTTTACCAAACATGATGTCCTTCTCCAAGGACTTGAATCACCTGACAATATATCCAAAGTATGCAAAATCAATTATGAAGTACACTGTTGTCTAGGATAGGATTATATCTGCTCACCTTAAAGGATATTCAATAAATACAATCATTATTCAAATTTATGCACCAACCACCAAAGCTAGTGTTGAAGAAACTGAAGAATTCTACTAACAACTTCAGTCAGAAATTGATCAAATAAACAAGATGCACTGATAATTACTGGTGATTAGAATGCTAAAGTTGGGGGGGGGAAGAGGAAGGAACACTAGTAAAATATGGATGTGGTGATAGAAACAAAGTTGGAGATATTGCATGATAGAATTTTTCAAGATTGAGGACTTGTTCTTAGTAAATACATTTTTTGAACAACACAAATGGTGGCTGTAAACATATGTCATCTCCAGATGATATACATATAAATCAAATCTATTGCACCTGTGGGAAGACATGCAGGAGATCCTCCCTATTAGCAACTAAAACCAGGCCAGCTGCCGACTATGGAACAGACGATCAATTGCTCAAATGTAAGCTCAGGTTGAAAATGAAAAAAATGAAAACAAGTTCACAAGAGTCAAATATGATTTTGAGTCTACCCACATGAATTTCGAGAACATCTCAAGAACAGATTTGACACATTGAACAATAATGACAGAAGACTTGATTAACAGTGGGAGGAACAATGAAATAGTTTATTGTGCTAAGCTGGCCGATAAACACATGTAGAGTTAATTGAAGGGTGGAGGGATAAATGGCTCGGTGAGCCTCACCTTTTGAGTTCTCAGGTCTCTTGTTTGTTATGGTCGGACCAGGGTGCAGTTGCCTTAGCCAGTTCCCTGCTTCAGCTGGCAAAGCTCACAAGACATCCCTGAGGAGAAGCCACATGGACCTACCCCAATGAAGCCCTGAGTGCTGAAGCACCTGTGTGGAGACCCCTGCCAGCGCTGAGATGCTCACACGTTCACTGATTCTGTTTCTTCCTGCAGTCGGCATCATTGCGCCTGGTTTGTGAGATGGAGGAGGACTTTGTGGATTGGTGTTGGACATATGGGTTAATGGGTTAATGTTGAACTTGAGGGCTTGGGCAGCACTGGGTTGGGACGTTTTCTTGATGCACAGTTAACCTTTATATAAAACTCTCTCTTATACATGAGTTTCTGTGCATTTGTTTCTCTAAAATTCCCAGACTATTATAAACAAGAATCAAGAGCATCATTCATGAAGAAAATAAAAGGTTATTAAAAAGGCAGGAAAGAAAGAAAAGATCAAAGTGGATGTCAGAAGAGACTCTGAAACTTGCTGTTAATCATAGAATAGCTAAAGCAAATGGGAGAAAGGATGAAGTCAAAGAGCTGAATAGAAAATTTCAAAGGACAGCTCAAGAAGACAAAGGAAAATATTAGAATGAAATGTGCCAAGATTTAGAATTTAAAAGCCAAAATGACGCACATGCTCATCATATTTAAAACTGAAAAAATTCAAGGAAAAATTCAAGCCTTGCATTACAGTATTGAAAGACTCTATGAGCAAAATATTGAATGATGCTGAAGGAAAATGCCCAGCTGAGCTGAAAGCATTAGCCAAAAACAAGATTCAATGAATTGATGGAATACCAATGGAAATGTTTCAACAGTATAATGAAGCACTGAAAGCACTTACTCATCTATGCCAGGAAATTTGAAAGACAATTACTCAGCCAACTGACTGGAAGAGATCCATATTTCCACATTCCAAAGAGAAGTAGCTCAGTAGAATGCTCAAATTATAGAACAATATCACTGATACCATGTACAAGTAAAATGTTACTGAAGATCATCCAACAATGGTTGCAGCAATACAGTGACAGGGTCCCAGCTGGATTCAGAGGGGAATGTGAAACAAGGGATATCATTGCTGATGTCAGGTAGATCTTGGCTGAAAACAGAGAATACCAGAAAGATGTTTACTTGTGTTTTTTTGGATTACACTAAGGCATCCGACTGCGTGGATCATAACAAACTGGGGATAACCTGAGAAGAATGAGAATTCCAGAACTCTTCATTGTTCTCTCATGTAACTTGTACTACATGGATCAAGAAGCAGTTGTGGGACCAGAACTGGGAAAAACTACATGGTTTTGAATCAGGAAAGGTGTGCGTCAGGGTTGTATCCCTCACCATATTTATTCAATCTGAAGGCTGAGAAAATAATTAGATTATATGAAGAAGAATGTGGCATCAGGGTTGCAGGAAGGCTTCTTAACAACCTAGCAGCTGACACACCCTGCTTGCTGAAAGT